AAAATGTCCTTGCATCAAACGTGTCGTATGTGGCAGAAAACGACAAGGAAGCTAACGTGTTCAGAGAAAAACCTGTCCCGTCTTGCCACCTCATTTGCATATTAGAAGAAAGTGAAGAAGCTATATTGGAATGGTTTTGGACAGAAACAAACAGCAAACTTTTTCAAAGGTTTTCAGACAGTACAAGGAAGAAAACAATGGTTTGGTTTTGGAGTAGCAAAAGCCAAGAAATGAACATAAAGAGAATGGCTGGCTATATATATATATATCCTTCTGCCAAAAGACGAAAAAACCCATAAACGAAACTTGAATCGAACCAAAAGTATTTGAAAGTCTAAAAAAGAAAATATATACTAATGCAAGAGCTTCCAACTAGTGATCTAGTTTCTTGTTTGTTTGATTTCATTTCTCTGAAGATAAAACCAGAATAAATAAATAAAGTAAATATTCTTTTGAGTCCTTAATAAAAAATGTTATTTCCATTTTAGTCTTTTATAAAAAAATATTAGTTTCAAGATTTCTAAAAAAATTAAAATGGATCTATTTAATTAAAACTATAGTCCTTTATAAATTCAAAAAATACTCATTTTTATCCCTCAATTTTGAATTTTTCAAGAACTTTGAGATTAATTTTTTTTATAAAACATTAAGATGATAATCGTTTTTTTTTTTTTGTTAGAAATCAAAAAAATATTTGCTCAAATAAATATATAAGCTCTTTTTTTTCTCCCAAACTCTTCTCTCTCTCTTGCTTGTTGTCTTTGGTCTTGAGAGTAGTCTCTTTCTCATCTTATTTACTGGTATCCTCAAACACGGAAATTTTTTAAATACCACCGTTGTAGTGTGTTGGATGCATCTTTTTACTCAAACAGGAAATTTTGTTTTGTATTTTAATCTCTTATTTTTTATTTATGGAAAAAGTATTTGTCCTCTTAAATGACACAACTTATATCCTTTCACCCTCACAAAGAGGTGAGATCTAGACCCACACCTTTATATTTTTTTGTCCACTCTCTCCTCCTTTATATCTCTTTTTCTCACTTAAAATGACACAATTTTACATCCTTTAAAATGATACATATTTTTCCTTTTATTTATTTTCTTTTATATCCTAATTATTTTCTAATTTAAGAAAAAAAGTACGAACGACGTTGAGTCATATATTTTGATGGGTCACCACATACACACATCCACTCTCTCTTCTCTTTCACAGTCACACAAAGAGACAAACAAAAACAGACACAACCCTACAATGAAGTGACAAGTTATGTAGCACCAATACTGATACGGGACATGTGACACGACACTTCGACATGTTAATTCTACAAAATGTTAGATTTTGACACGTTAAGACACGATTTGATATTAAATAATATTTTTAATTTATGTAGTGTATATTATATTTAATATTCAATAATTTAACAAAAAAATTAAACTAAACTTATAATATTCATCAATTTTGCAAAGAAACATAAGATATTCCAAATATTTATATCAAATTCAATAAAATAATAATCGTAATTCAACGAATCTAATAGTTGGAACTAAAAACTCAACGCAACGCAACCTTTGAACCTTTTTTTAAATTTCTATAACGCGTGTTGGAGTGTCGGGAAGTGTCGGAGTGTCGGTGAGTGTCGAGAAGTGCCGGACACGACACGTCAATATTTTTGAAGTGTCGGTACTTCATAGGTGACAAGAACACATAAACGTTACCCATATGGACGCATTCAGTGGTGTTCAATCTATGCCTCTGTTACGGTTGTGTGGTTTTTTCTTCTTCTTGTTTTTTAAATTTTTTTCCTTTGTTGAACTGTTACAGTTGTTATTCCTAAAACTATTATTACGGAACTAAAAAAAGGGAAGAAAGATATATATTTTTTTTTTAGTAAAGTCTCTTTTGAATTTCTAATAAAAAATACGATTTTCATTTTCGTCCCTTGCAATAAAAAGTCAAATTTTGATTATTCTACAATTTTAATTCTTTGAAAATATAGACACTCGTAAATTCAATGAAGATCTAATTTAGTCTCTAAAAAAAATTAATATGAATATTTTTTATAAGAGACGAAAGTGAGGACTATATTTTTTGTTAAGGATCCAAAAAGAGCTTTACTCTATTTTTTAAGGGGACGGTTATACTTACCACCAGGTAAGTTTACCACCCTTACAACTAGGGGTGTTCATCAACTGATCCAAACCGATTCAAACTGCGGTGACCGAACCGAAAAACCGAAAACCGAATAAACTGAAAACCGAAAAACCGAAAATCAAATAAAAATCGCAAATTTTAATTGGATTGGATCGATTTTCGGATTGGTATATGAAAACCGATCCAATCCAAACCGATCCAATATATTAATTTTTTTCTACCTGCTTGAGTCTTTTTTCAATCATAGCCCAAAAATTTCTAAACCCAAGACCTATTAACCCATCAACTAAACCCAAGAAAAAACCTAGTCACATCTCATCAACAAAATTTTAACTATGTAGAGCTTCATATCTTATAGTCCAAAAAAACTATATTATCTGATGCTTTTGTATTTAAAAAAATATATTACAAAGCCAATATGCACAAAAGATCTTATTTGCACAATAATCATGAAATAAATTTTAAGATTTTCAGAAAACCGAAAACTGATCCAATCCAAACCGAAAAAAATTGGATTGGATCGGATCGGATTTGGAAAAAAATCCAAACCGAAGGGATTAGATTGAATGATTTTTGCTTTCAAAACCGATCCAACCCAGACCGCGAACACCCCTACTTACAACCAATCTCATTATCGTTAAGTTTGAATTAAATCTAACGGTTCATAATTATTCCTTATAATCCTAACTTTTACTCTCTCATTCCCTCTCTCTCTAGGTTTGGGATCTGCAAACCTCTAGGTTTGGAAATCACCTCTCTTCATCATTATAGCACTCTCATCTTCAGTTCCAGCAAAAATACCTCACAAAAATAAATAATCAAACATGTGAACTCATTCTTTCCATTCTTTTTTTTTTTTTGCAACAGGTGCAAACAATTAATAATAACACTTAATGATAAAACTAGAAAATCGATCATTCATCCTTGAATCGGTTCTTTTTCATTTCGATCCATGTTTGGCTGAATTAACGGTATCAAAGTGATAAAAGTTAAATTAAATTCATGATAAAAGTTAATCTGTTCTTGGGTAGTGTTTTCGATCCATTCTTTTTCATATAAAGTTACACTATTCAAACCTTGACAGAATCAATCGGTTCTTTTTCATTCGATCCATTCTTTTTCATTTCGATTTAGGATCCATGATAAAAGTTAAATTAAATTCGAATATGGTGGATCTGGCTTCCCAGGGAGTGTGTGTGGCAGGGGAATGGTGCATCCCAGGCCATAAACTAATGGGTTTGCGGTTAGTAGACTAGAGCCTGCATCGATAGGAAGAGATGTTGTTGGGTCTGAAGAATCAGAATCAGGAGGTGTATAAGTACATAGTGATTTGGTGTGGTGATTGTGAATATTCAGATTCAATGGTTGTTGCAGTGAAGGGAATGAATAGAGAGAACTAAGCGTGCTTCTGAATCTGAAAAGATGGTGAAATAGACATAGTTTTGGATTTCTGAATGGTTGCATTGCATGGAAATGGAATCGATGGTGTTAATTGAATTCCATAGAATCGATGGTGTTAATTGAATTCCATAGAATAGGTTCTTTAATTTTCCATTTCATTCATGTTTGATATTTGAAGATAGCGGCTCTGAATGATAATGATAATGGAACTCACCTTCAATTTCAATTTTGATAAAGCGCTGCAAAGAGAAGAATTTGAAGAGAGAGATCTGCATATCCCAAACCTATAGAGAGAAGGAGGGAATGTGAGAGTAAAAATTAGGATTATAAGAGATAATTATGAAATCTAACGATTATAAGATTAGTTGTAAGGATGATAAACTTACCTGGTGGTAAATATAACCGTCCCCATTTTTTAATACCACGAATAGTTAGCTAGTGTGAAATTAACAAAATATATAACTAATTTTATTGTAGATATATGAGAATATTTAATGATTTTTTCACCTGTATGGAACATGGTTGTCCCTTTTATGCAGGTTCATATTGTAAAATTGAGTCTTTGGCATCGATATATACTACACTTAAATTTTAGTGTCACAAAGATTAACTTTTTTAAAATTTTAATAAAAAAGTATGCTTTATGATATCAGATACAATTATGATTACGAGTAATTATAAAAAGTAATATCTTTTTTAAATAATTAATTACACTATTAATTATTAATTTTATGTATATATAATAATGGGGTTTTCGTTTGTCTTTTAACATGACATGGTAAAGTTTTCTACACACACAACATTTTGTGGGATCTGCATTTTTTGAAGCAAAAAAACCACAGAAAACGAATCTCAATAATATGACACAATCACTTTTCCTAAAACATAACTATTATAAAATTCTATAATAATTTTTCTCGCAGTAGTATTTTTTCTTTTTTTTGGTGAGCAGTAGTTATTTATCGATAATAAAATTGTAAAAAATAAAGACTAAATAAATTTTTGTGATAAAGAAGTTACTAGTTTGCACGTTCATATAAATAAAAATAGGAATAGGATAAACTTATATCGGTGTAATAATAATAAATCTTACATCAAATCTTAACTGTTAATTTTCGTGAACTTAACGATTGTGATTTATTGGATCATATTAATTAATTAATTATAATAAATTATAATTATTAGATACACATAAAATAACGATTAAAATTTAATGTAAGTAAATGTTACAATATCTTTGATAAATTGCGATGACGCTGTTGTCATTTTCAATTTGACGAAGATTTTTTTTTTTTTTTCTTTTTGGATAGATGTATAAATCATTGTCTTCGTTAACATTATTATTTCCTATATAAAGGCTTTATTTTGGGTCCAATGTGCAGCACAAAATCCACGGAAAGCTAAAAAAAATTCCAGTAGCTATTGATCTCTTTTCCATTTCAAACTAATGGCTGCAGCTCATCAACTTCCTTTACCCTCCCTTGAAAGTAAAACATCAGTTCTTCGTCGATCTGCAAACTTCCAACCTTCAATTTGGCATTATGATTATATCCAGTCATTGAGGAGTGAATATACGGTATGTTTCATTCTCCTTGGTTTTTAATGTCATTTTATCAAACAAAAGTCCATGCAATATAAAGTCTAAGGTTTATAATACCCTCTGAAAAATATTGAAGCTAACACACAATAGTTAAATTATTGTAGGAAGAAAAATACTCAAAGCAAAGCAAAGTGCTAAAGGAAGAAGTCAGGGTGATGCTTTGCCAAGTGGTAGATCATGTTGAACAACTTGAGATGATTGATGTCTTGCAAAGGCTTGGTGTTTCTTATCATTTTAACGATGAAATAAGGAATGTATTGGAAAATGTTTACAACAATATGGACATCTTAAAGAGCAAGAAAAATTTATATGCCACGGCCCTTGCTTTCAGACTGTTACGGCAACATGGATATAATCTCTCAGCAGGTATTGAATTTTAAAAGGACTTGACACACTTTAAGAGATTGTGTTCATAAACATTAATGTTAATCTATTGTAATTGTCGCATAACTACTGTATAACTTTAATTATTTTTAGGAAAAAAGTCTATCCATTCAAATGACACAACTTATATCCTTTCACTTCCACAAAGAGGTGGGACCCACACCTTTATTTTGTTTTGTCAAATCTATCTCCTCCTTTATCTATCTCTTTCTTTCTTTCTCTTAAAATGACACAACTTTACCTCTCTTAAAATGACACAACTTTACATTTTTTCCTTATTTTTATGCACCCAAAGAGTAAAAAACCAAAATTGTTGTTGCAGATGTTTTTGTTGGCTTTAAAGATGGAATGGGCAATTTCAAGAAATGCCTTTCTGATGATGTCCAAGGAATGCAATCACTGTATGAAGCCTCATTTCATTCAGTGGAAGACGAACTTATACTCGATGAAGCAAGAGATTTCACATCAAAATTTCTCAAAGATTTTGTGGACAAGAATAGAGGTAATGATACGTCACTCCTAATCAATCATGCTTTGGAGTTTCCGTTGCATTGGAGGGTGCCAAGATTGGAGGCTTTGTGGTTCATTAATTTTTTAGAAGAGAGAAGGCAAAATGAGAATCACGCTTTACTTCATTTTGCAAAATTGGATTTCAACATGGTTCAAAGCATCTACCAAGAAGAACTCAAGAATGCATCAAGGTGATGATGACACTCGTACAACATTAATAAATATATCAAGATACCATTATATTGAGTAACATATAGTTTCATTTTAAAGCTGGGTTAATTACTCTCTTTTCGATTTTTAAAAATATATCAAAGCAAAATTGAGGAATAATATGCTTTTTCCTAATACTTGAAATTTTCTCTCATGTTAAGATGGTGGAAAGGAACTGGCTTAGTAGAAGAGTTGAGTTTTGTTAGGAACAGGTTGGTGGAGAATTTCTATTTTGCCCTGGGATTCAATTTTAGACCAGATCTTGGAAATTTCAGAGAAGAAATAACAAAGTTGCATTCCCTGATAACCAACATTGATGATATTTACGACGTACATGGCACCTTGGAAGAATTAGAGCTCTTCACAGAAGCAATAGACAGGTAATATTATTACTTCTCTGTTCTATTTTCCATGCATCGACCTCTTTTTGCAAAATTTCCTCTCCTCTAACGAATGGTCATTATCAATTTGTTTGTGATTCTAGATGGGATCTAAATGCTATGGATGGTCTCCCACACTACATGAAAATATGCTTCCTTGCAATCTATAACTTTGTCAATGAAAAAGCTTATGTCATCCTCAAAGAGAATGGATTCAACGTCATTCCATACCTAAAGAAAGCAGTATGCAATTATTTATTTATTTTTTTGATAAAATGTTTTTTTTACCTAGCTAAAAATATACTCTTAGTCAATTTAGTCTTGTCAGAATCAAAGTAGTGATCACAAGTTTATGAGTTCGATAATAATTGTCTCTCACTTTCTAGTGAAATTAAGTCGGCACAAAGTAAAAAAAAAAAATTGGTCTTTTCAATATCAAAGCTCCAAACCCAAATAACTCTTAAGTGGAGGTGTTAAAGAGATATAATATAAAAATTATTAAAATCTAATCACTTATTAATTTAAACTTTTAGATTGAATTGACATTTTACAAGTCCTTTAGCAATATTTTTATGAATATTTTTCTTAAAATAAAAAAAAAAAATCATCCCTTCATTTATTTGAGTTTTAATAATGTTAATTTTAAAAGTTGATTCATATTGTGAAAAAGCCAAAATAATCTCGATTGATTAAAATTCATGTGTGAAAAAGATGTACAGATATTTTAAAGTGGAATATTATACTCATACACAAGCCTCAAGTGATGTATAAGATTTGTAAAATTATGTTGTTTTAGCCTAATTAAATGTGTTGTATATAACATCCCATCTTTTAACGTCATGAAAAATCATTTCAAGTTAATGACTTTCAAAATAAATGGATAGATGAAAGAAAATATATATTTAAAGTTTTAATTAAAGCTAAATTGATAAATAATTTAGTTTTCAAGAAAAAAAAAATTGTACTCATGTTTTTATTTATATTGTCTATTTTTGGTTTAAATTTGAATTAAGATAATTTTCTTACTCGTGTTATCGTAACATTTTAGTGGGCTGATTTATGTAAAGCATATTTGGTTGAGTCTAAATGGTACTATAGTGGATATACGCCAAGACTGCAAGAATACATGGAGAATGCGTGGATATCCGTAAGTACACCTGTTATACTGGTGCATGCTTACTTTTTTATTCCAAGACCATTGCAAAAGGAGGATTTTGTTTGCTTATTAGAAGAATATCCCAACATAATTCGTTTTCCAGCAATTATTTCACGCCTGGCGAATGACATTGCATCATGCCAGGTACCATGGCAATTTTATTCCTATTCTTTACACACACACATGTACACAAAATATTAAATTCAAAATATATACATATTTTCTTTATTTGGTCATATAGTTTACCACTTTTATTTGTAGCGAGAGATGGAGACAGGTGATGTTTCTAAATCAGTTCAATGTTACATGAATGAAACTGGAGCTTCTGAAGCAGATTCTCGTGAGTACTTAAAGGGCATGATACTTACAACATGGAAGAAGATGAATGAAGAAGCTCGCAATTCTTCTTTCTCTCAGAGTTTCATAGATACTGCTCTAGACGTTGCAAGAATGTGTCTGTGCTTTTACCATTATGGAGATGGCTTTACACTACCAAATCATGAAACCAAGAGTGGCATACTATCATTGATTATGCAACCCATTCCTATGACATCTAAAGAGAAATATGCTGTTGAAAAGGAATAATTAATAGACTAGTTTCATAAAGTCTTAACGCTATTAAAATTCTAGCTTGTCGCTAAAAAGAAGTTGTGTTGCTTATGATTTGAAGTAATATTGCTATGTTTGTCTGAATATGTAAAATGTAAGGACAAAAAGATGTGTAACACATCTTTTTTGAATTAATGTTGAGCCCCTGTTTCGTTGAATTTATGTAAAAGCCTCTGATGTAAGAATGTGTTAAAATAACGGACGAGTAACATTATTTTCAGATAATGTTATAATCTTGAATAAAACTTAATTCACTATTGGACAAATGACTTTATCTTCGACGGAATAATTCCATAAAAAATTGATGGTTATTCCGTCATGAATTTCTTTTTCGATGAAATTAATACCGTCTCATTTCTATTGTCAAAAAACCAGTGTTATTAAACTCGACTCGGGTATCGATCCAGTCGGGATACTGGATTACTGGGTCACTCATTGAACCGGTCACTACAAAAAAAATGATGATTAGCCACATTTAAAAATGTGGCAAAAATTGATAAAAAATGTGGCTAACATAATTTACCACATTTTGATTACATGTGGCTAGAAGTGGTGTTGCAATAATTTAACCACATTATTTTATTCACTTTGCCACATTTTGACCAAGTGTGGTAGCCTTCTTTTAGCCACATTTATTGTTTATTTAGCCACTTTATAAATGTGGTTAAACTGTTTAGTTTGCCACAATAGAAAAATGTGGTTAAACTGTTTAGTTTGCCACAATAGAAAAATGTGGCTAATTGTGCCTAAAACTTTTTTTAGCCACATTTATGACTATGGCTAAATATACGAAATTTCTTTTTTAAAATTAAAAAATTATGAATTCGATAAATATTACAATAATAAAGAAAATAATGTTGAAAATAGTTCAAACACGATTTAGTGAACACATTAAAATGTGAACCAAACACTAAACATCATATTCTATTATCACTGAAGAATTTGTACAAAACATCATGTTTTCAATTTATATAAGCTAATCAAGCTTTCTACCAATATCATAGAGGGAAAAAATCGCCAAATAAAACTAATAAAAAGTTTACTTATGGGACATCTATACAAAAAATTATCTTCTCAATTCTCAATTGCATAAAAAAAAAAGGTAGTACAAATTTTCCTTATCATCCATTTAGGACTTGTTCTTGTATGCCATCCTAGTCCTTCGAAATGCCATCTACCAAATCACACCTGCACAAATCAATTTCATATTATGTTAATATCCTATTGATGAGCTATTATGATAACCAACCTCAAAACACCAATGTACAAATCCTAAGGTCAGTCTTTACCGCTTAGCTAGTGAACACAGTCAAGGTCATTCATGTCCCAATAATCAACCAAGGACTCAGGCAGACACTAGCCATAAAACAAATAAATCAAGTTTCATTTTTTTTATGTTATATGATATCAATTAATGGGTTCATCAAAAAACACAATAATTGTTTTTTCATTCCAACGCAGTTCAATAGAGCAGCTTTATCGGAATGTTCATACTCTATAAGCTTAGTTCATAGTTCATCTCAAAATCTGTGCAAGAAGAAATTAGAAGATCCACCTGTTCTTTTTTTTATTTTATTTATTTTCAAAGCAAGAACCACATAATAGAATAATAGAATACAAAGGAGGGAAGGAAAAAATGCCTTGGGAAACGAAGTCTAGAGAAGAAATAAACGAAAAAATAATGAACTCAATGAGTAGATATCATCTGATCTGTCCATAGTGAGGAGAATAGAAGAGAAGAGAGAAAGGGAACAAAATATTGAATAAAAAAACGAAATGAGAATTAAATTAAATGAGCCAAAAAGTAAGCTTAGAAATAAACACTGATGTAAAATATGCCCTCGAATCCGTGACAAGGAGCACAGTCGTCTAGCAAAGATACCTTTCCAAAATTTCCTACAGAACCAGATTTCAGATGTAGTGTTCGATATTTCCTGCAGGAACAATACATGAAAGCTTATCGAAAAACACAGATACAAAACAAACTTAATGTTAAACCTGATAAAACAGTTCAAAAAAATAAACAAACTAGTAAATAAATATACAGTTAAAATTAGCATAGTTATGAACTAGCAGCAACACTACCGGGGAAGAATTATTGACATGCAAGAGAAGCAAGAAAAAAAGGGGAAATATCTAATACCCATTCGTCACACATCTCTCAAGAAACTTTGATTGCTTTCTGGTATTCGCAGCATAATTCATTTCAGGTAGCTCTATCATATACATCTGTAATACTTCCTACAAAGCCATTCACAAAGACATTTTGGACGGGGAAAAGATAGGAAGATTAATTTTTTATTTCTAAATTTATATAATTATAAAATATTTATAAAAATGAATAAGTCATAAATGGAATTTTACGTAATAATATCTCGTATTCAAACATACCAATACTAGGTCCAAAGTCCTCTCTCGCAAGAAGATTCTATTACAAACAGTGATTCCGGAAACAATAAAGAACATAACAGTAAACCAGAATAATTGCCATATTTTGCAATCAAATTGAGACAATAAAGGGAATCAGCGATCATCAACCTTAGCAACATCTTCATCTTCCACCAGCGATGTCCCCATCACTGAATCAAGAAATTAAATGCCAACAAAAAAGAATGGTCAAAATCTTCTTCCATTTCAAGCCGCACCTTTCTCTATAAGTCCCAAAACTTTCCCAATTTCCCTCTCCCTACATAGATACGACGTGTCGATTAATTTTTTTGGTTCTTCACAAGGTTAGTAGTCGTGCCCTAAGTCCCTATCCAATTTTTCAAACACAGAAATTAAATGCTACAACAAATTTCAATTTGTAGAACCTCTACAAATTGAACAACAACACAAGCTGTAGAACCTCGAGTTCAATTTTTACCTCTACAACTTCAAAACATCAGAAATTGGTGGCTACCTTTTTTGCCTCTCAGGAGGAGGGCTCAGGCTCTGAGAACTACGTGACAGAGAGGACGAGGAGGAAGAGAAAGATCTGGAGCGAGAGGAAGAACGAGAGGAGCGAGAATCGGAAGGGGATGAGAACTTCTAGTTTGTTGGAATCTACATCGGAAAGGAGAACTTCAAAATTTGAATGTATGAGTTTCATGCTAAACTTCGTTGAAGATTTGGGGAAATTTTTTTGGTATAAACAGGATATAGAATGAATACGGAGGAAAACATTATTTAGTAAAAAAAATTCAAAATTAATTTTGCTACATTTTGAAAATAGGGTTGCAAATTGAGGGTATACTTGTATTTCTACTTCATTATAATAAATGTGGTTAAATCCACGTGGCTATAGATCCTATTTTTTTGTAGTGGGTGGATCATTGGTCGAACTGGTTGACTCGGATGTATATAGATATATAAAAATATGAACATATAAATTCAATTATATTCTCCATATCTAAAATGAATTAAACAAGGTTCATTAAATAAACTCGAAAACAAGAAGCATAAATAAATAAAAATGCATGCTATTAATATGTCAATTTAAATTACAACTCATAATCCCCATAAACATACCTCTCAATGACATCGAACTCATATTTTCAATTCAACTACATTAAAATGACATATTTTGCATTCTCTTAATTTATTATTCTGCAAATTGCTTCAGTATTAGAAGCTAAAATTTGAGGACATTGTAGAAGAGTATACTAACAAATAAAATTATAAAAAGTTTTAAAATGAGTTCTACATTTTTTTAACAAGATAAAACAATTTTGATTTTTTGTTTTTGCTTTTTTTAAATGCATGACCTGACCGGGTGACTGGGTCACCGGTTCACCGGTTCGCCGAATTTGACAGGTTATGTCCGAGTTTGATCGGATCGATGCATAATCGGTTGGCCGAGTTTCGGGTCGACCCGGCCGGCTCGAGCCGAGTTTTACAACTATTTCAAAACACACAATTTTGATAGAAATAAAAATTGCATCGAAAGTATCGACAGAAAATTCCGTCAAAAACCATTTAAATTACGTAAAAAAGAGACAGATAAAATTACTACTTTTTAATAAAATTTTGATAGAATATACTTAATTTTCAAAAAATTCTGTCAAAAACCTCGGTCATAGTTTTTGACAAAACTTTTTGTCAGAATTTACTGAAAAATTCCATAAAAAACAACGACAGAATTTCATATGGTTGAAAGCTTATTTTGCATTTTTTTTTACGGAATTTATTTTCCGTTTTTTAAATAATACTTATTTTCGAAACAGTTTTATTTGTACAAATGGTTTATGGGGGTACTTGATAAAGAAGCAATATACAGAATAGACAATAAATAACACTAGAAAATGCTCAATTATTAATGGAAAAAAATTCCGTCAAAATTAGTAATGCAATTTTTAATCAAAAATGTATTCCATCAAAAATAGAGATGAAAATAAATTCTGTCAAAATTAGAGATGAAACTTGATTCAGTCATTATCCTTGACCCAATCTTCCTACGGAAAAAAAATTCCATTGAGATTTTTTTTAAAAAAAAATAGATATCGTTGAAATTTTTAATGGAATCCTATTCGTCAAAATTTTTGAACGAAAAGAATTCCGTCTAATTTTTTACAGAATCTATTTTTTGTCGAAACTATTAATTTTTGAGTAAATTTTACTAGTCAAGAAATCACATGTTATTTACTCCTATTATGATAGGATTTTGGCATTATATGAAAAACCCTAAATTCTTTTTGTGCAAGAATGCATACATATATAAACATTTATGGTATTGTAAATACATATTTGAACATTCACATGTGCAAATAACTTTTTTCCAGAAACATAAGAAAAATGGAACTCATATATATATATATATATATATATATATATTGAAAAAATATTTCTACAGTCACTTTTGATAAGGTTATCCCCCAACCGATCGAAAGTCAATGACTAATCCCCTCGAGGCAGAAAGATCACGCAATCATGGGTACAGCCTCTCCCAGCAAAGCCTTTTCTATACACAAAGTCAGGGATCAAACTCCTGTCAGCATCCTCATTGAACACTTTCATGATTACTGATAAATTACCTATCCAAGTCGATAAAAAAATTGCCTAAATCCAATGAAAAATTGTTGGTAACAAAAAAACAAACTTTAAAAATAAATTAAATATATCCTTATTCCTTACTAACAAATAAATCCTTGGCAAATTACATTGAATCACCCTCTATTTAGGGGCATTTTCAAGAAAACCACCCTATACTTTTAATTAAACATTTAATCCCCTTAATTTCACTATCGAATCGTAACTATTAAACATTTTTAATAATATAATGCAAAATATCCTTACTTCTATCCCAACACCAACCTATTTCCTCTAACCATCGTTTGCCATCACCGATCATTTTTATTTTTATTTTTTACTATTAACCATCATCTCTAAATAACCATCGGTCATTGCCTCCAGATCATTATTTCATTCATTCTTTAATATTGTTTCACTTCCTTTCTCACTTTCCTATTGCCTAAACATCGATCGCATCCAAATCTTAACGAAATATCTACCACTTTTTTATTCTCTCTTTATTGAGAATAAGATTTTAACAAGATTTGATACTTTTTTTTGGTCAATCAAATAACAACAATGTTTCTCTCATTACGAGCCCCAGGCCCTGGCAACACATCATCACCATTATGCAGTTCATCAACATATTAATCAAAATCTTAGATCCCCATGCATAATCAACAGAAACTAGGAAGAGGTTCATTACAAAGACAAACCTTGGAGAAACCAAACGAAAAAGAAGGTGATGAATAAAGGAAATCTTCGAACTTCCAGCCCGGGATAGTATTTATCAAGTACTACTCAAATACAGTACTTGTGAAAACAGCTTTTTCATTTATGGAAAACGTTGATGCTTTTGAAGGTGGATGTGAATCCTCCGAATAATCAAGCACAGAATTATTATTCTTCCGATGGCGAGAAGGGTGATAGTGGAGGAGAAGGGTATTTTTGTTTTTAAAATTTCTAATTATGTTTAATTGTTGTGATCTAATAGTACAAGGGGTTAATTGTTTTGAATCTTGAAAGTATAAGGTGGTGTTTTAAAAATGACCCTAAGGTGGCTTTATGAAATTTAGCCTAAATCCTTTACACTAAACCTATTATCTCACGTTAGACAAAGTTATGTCATCTCTTCATATATAATTTAAAATTCAAATATGCAACTAGTGTTAGGCTATATATGTTGTACCGACATCGGCACGGGACACGACAAGACACTCCGACACGATAATTCTAAAAAATATTAGATTTTGACATGTTAAAATACGTTTTAATATTAAATAATATTTTAATTAACTTTATTTAATTTCATCGGTCAAGAAATCAACACTTACAAATAAACCAATTGAAGTGATAGACAAGATTTAAGTGAAAAACACAATTGGAAAAAATCACGGACAAGAATATAAAAAAATTTCACCATGTGGAAGAAACTATAACTTCTTTACAATACAAGGTGAGGACAATATTATTCTCACTTATATTAATAGAACACATCTCACTCAAAATTACACCCCACGAGATCCTATTTGCTATTAATTTAGTATTGGGATGAGTAGAAAACACTATGAGTATTTTTTTTCTGAAACTTGGGATGATATTCATAGGCATACAGTGCTGCACAATTTCCTCCATAAGTGCTATTCACTCACCGCAATTCACACAATGCACTCCATGTGCAAATTGTGCTTTGAAGAAAAAATTCAACAAAGCCACCAAATCAATAGTGTAAAGTTTGGTTTTTGGCCACCAAAAGTGGCCTTTAGATAGTAACTACTTACGTCAATCTCTTACTTAAAGAAACTTTGGTTGAGCTTGCAAAAACTTTTTTCTCTCTCCAGTTCAATGGAGAGAGAAATGAAAAATTACGGTAAATAATAGAGAAAAACATCAATCTTCCCTGTGATCACTCTGCACGTCATGGTCATCACCAAATTGTTCATCTTCATTATTGGGGTAGCATCTCGTCATTGTTGACCTGATACTGGGTAACTAAGAAGCTAGGATCATACAACAATTGTTCAGGATAAGCTGGAGAGCTGTGTAACCAGCTTGCACACCTTATCATGCTCTTGCTACGAAACTTCGGGTGGTAGGAAGCGCCTATTTTAGATCATAAACCGCAATTTGCACCCTTTCTTGTTTAGTCCTCCAACCGCTTTCATAATAGTTGAAGATGCACTGCTACCTTGTGATCCTTCATCCTCATTTACGAGTCCTACAACAAGTATGTCATATATTAGTGTATGTAAAAACTAATAATTAATGAAATACAAAAGCATATATGTATTATTGAAGATTTCAGTTATATATAGTGACAATTATTTCCTTTGCCTTTTCATTTACCCAAGTCTAGATAATTTGGTGGGGCCGGCAAGCCAATTTGGGTCACCACTGATGGCTGCCACGTGAGGAATAACATAGTTTTTATGGACACGAGATCAGGATGGGGTTGAGGCGCCTTGTGAACATGGAAGAGCAAGACATGGCCATGTTTGAGCGTGATATGAAGGAGCACATTTTCAATGCTCTGTAAGTCGGTACTCCTTTTCCCGAGATAAAAGAAAAAAAAGGATATAGAAGAAAATAACAATAAAGACAAGAATATATAGTATAAATATATTTTATTTTTTTTTCATATTTAGTAAAAGATGTACCGAGTGTGCGATGGTGCATTAGATGTACCGAAAAATATTTTTGATATGACTCTCTCAATCCAATCCGTTGGACATGCTAATGGGCTAGCTCTAACTCAAACAGAGGGAACGTTTACATTGTTTATTTGTTGAAATATATCTTTCTAAGGCTATGTAACGAATTAAGAAATAAATAAGAAGAATTTCAGAAAAATTGGATCTGTTAAGTGCTAAAACATTATTTAAAAAATTTGTTATTACTGGTATTCAGTGGTAGAGCAAGGAAGAGGACTGGAAGAAGTGGTAAATCAGTGTAGAGGAAAAAGCCTCCACTTCAACACCAATGTGGAAAAGCATGTGTATGAGGCAAATATATTTTTTGTTTTAATGAACAAAAACCAGAGGGCTTTGGAGCTGGCAAAGCTGCAAACTTGACTTATTAAGAGAGTGCACCTAGGATGATAGCTGATGTTTTTCCTAGTCAAACAAGATTGTTGTTGAGAAATCTACTGTCCAAGTGAGAACAACAAAGGCATTTGAGAAAATTCTAATCCATAATAGCAAAGGAATCAAGTATCAAATTATGCCAAATCCTGAGGGAAGGAGTTGGGAACTGCCTAAAACTACTAAGTTGGCGTTTGAGAAAATTCTAATCCACGTACAATTGCAAAGGCATCAGTTCTTTCTGACCGAACTGCCTAAAACTAAATGCCTAAAATTGTTAGGAAGAAGTTGCTTAAAAGTTTACTAAATGCCTAAACTATTGCTATATAAAGGGTGTGATCAATACTATTATATACAGATGATATGGTTAATTTAATGAGAAAGCAGCCAATGAGTTCATTTCTTGCACACGGTATAAGTTGCCAAAATATACGAATACAAAAGTGCTAAATTTGAACATAGTCAACTAAATTCATTTATCATTTTTTCACATAATCTAAGATGCAAAAACCATTTAGCGCGAATTATGAACCTATAATCCAAAATAAAAAATCCAACACATCAATTGAATTTTTGCACCAACCATTTCAGTCATTGAGGGAGGTAGCAAGCAAAAACATCAATTACTTCAACCTTAGAGCATTTACCTAGACCTCAACAAATGATAGGGGAGAAATGGGCCCTTTTTAAGTCACTACAAATTATGCTCGAGTCCTTCTTCTTCAGCGCAATTCAACCCTGAACCAACATAGACAATATTTGCCACATAAAGGTCGGTAGAATCTGGTTGGTGTGTATTATTTTTATAAGGATATGGATATGTTTACAAATTTTTGCAAATCACACTGTGTACTCCCGGAAGTACATAGTGTAACCTAGTGTATTTCGTAGTGTAGTTTGTAAACAAAAAATTTGTAAATATAAATATTTTCTATTTTTATTTTAAATCTTTTATCTATTTTGCATCGAGTCAGGGAGGGAATAGAGACATCGTCACTTTTATCCAAAAAAAAAAAAGAGACATCGTCACAGCAAATATGTGACTTTAAAAGTTTTTTAGCTTAACTTTCAAACTTTTTAGTTTTCATTACTCAGCTGAACAAACTTTAGATTTTGACTTTTTATTACCTAAATAGACATACCTCTATAAAACTTTTATTTATTTATTTTTTGTTTGGTGACAAAATTTAATCGGTTTGTCCGGTTTGCTCTCACTGAGTGTTATTCCTTCCAGACCCATACTTTGTTTGCTCTAGAATCTATGACCCAATTTGATTCCAAGCCTATGTTGCTCTTTATTAAGCCAATCTTATTGCCAAAGTTTCATTTGCTCTAGAATGTGTTTTTGTATGTTAAATTGCATGGTAGCTTGAAACATCTCTTTACATTATTCATGATAAGGACATTATCATATGAAATATCAACTATAGTACGTAGATGGTTTTGTGAGTTGAATTATTGTTTGAATTTTGAAAAGAGATCCATAATTGCTCAGAATTTAATTAAGATAGTACAGATACATGTAAATTATTACGAAACTTATAATACTTGAAGATGGTGAACTATACAATTAACGTGGTAAATTATTGCTAGGATATTTTATAAAATATATATTAGTTAGATAATTTTAATTTTTGAAATCTTGGATGAAAATAATAATAAAAAATTTTAGAAAATAAATCCACATTACACAGAATACAAGATAGTATAGCTATACGTATACCCTTAAGAAAGACAACACTTAAGGATGACAAGTCATATAATCAATGTTGTAAATCGTTGCATAGATTGAAAAATATACATACACTTGAAAATATTTGATCATGTATTTGATCATATTTTTCGACTTTTCAAATCCAATTCATGCGTGGTTGACAGCTGACTATTATATAATAAAAAGAGCAACAACAAAAAATAATTGAGTAAACACCTTTTTTAGTCCCTGGCAACATCTACGAAGTCCTTTAAATATCCGGATATTGATATCCGGATATTGATATCTGAATATGAGTTTCTGGATATCTGGATATGGGGTGTGAAAATATCCGGATATTGATATCTGGATATGTCCCCTAAGAATATCTGGATATTCTGGGTTTTTGATGAACAGTGGCTGCACTGTTCATACAGTATGATATTTATGGGTTTGTGGACCCATGATGGGTTATGTTGAACCTCTGTAATAATTAACTAAGTCAGAATCTAATTGATTAAAGGCTTGTGACTTTGTGAGAAGCCTAAAGACGTAAAACGTAAAGGAAAGGCGTTGTCTTTTATAGTATGCTTGTAAAGTATGATTATTGATGTTATAATTGGTCTAAACAGATTGTGATCTTGCTGTTGTGGACCTTGAGATTGTGTGGACTCTTGGCTTGGATAGCTAGCTTGCAAGGTAAGCTTTCGTGTCCTCGGTTTAGCCATTGTTGGTTCCACCATGTCCCATGGGGGGATGGTTTATATGCATGATGTTAATTTCATGTATTGTTTTGATAAATGCGATTGAGCTGTTATATACGAGTGCCTTTATGATATGCATGTGGTGTTCCACCTATACGGTAAGCCTGAGTATGTGGAGACATACAAGATGGTGAAGCTGTGGGTGAGGTGCAAGTGGTGTTCCTTGTACTTATTATGGGGTTGTAGACGTACGTCCTGCATTTCTCTGGCCAGTAGAATAGTTTTGACACACATGGCATGAATATCTGTTGCACTGCATAGTTTTGGAACTTATACTGTTAAATGCTTTTGAACTTATATTGCACATGTAAGTGAGCTCGGGGTGGAAGATCCTTGAGGACCCTTTGTCTTACTGAGATTTCTTATTTAGAGATCTCACCCCACGTTTGGGGGCGCTTATTTCAGGTTCAGGTAACCAGGGGGTCGATACCTATAGTGGCAGGAGGCCAGAGCTTAGTTGATACCTATTTATGCTGCTTATGCTAATTTGTTGTTATGCTTGAATGCTGGATCCTGTTTACTGCTTTGTGCTTTTAGCTTCAGTTATGGATTACATTCTTGAGACTCTGTTGTTATGTTGTCTATTTGATGAGCATGGGGTTTGTCCATGCCACGTTGACTTGTCTATGTTTTAGTTTGGATTAGAGTTGTAATAATGTATCAGGATTATGTCTAAACTATGTGTTGTAGATCCGTGACTTTAGATACTCACTATTATTTTATGAGGTATTTCAGTTAGTTATCCTTTGCAATTACATATAGGCGATATTTTTATGAAATTGATTAAATAATCAACTTGGCTAAGATTAATGACGTCATAATTGAACAGAAAAAGATATTCCGCATTTTTAATTAAGAGTGGCTTAATACGATGACATGTTAACAAACCGGGTATACACGGGGTGTTACAGTATCCCTAGCCGAAAGCCAAGGACTAATTCCCTCAAGAAGGAGAGATCACGCGATCGTAGGTACATCCTCTCCCAACAAAGCATTTTCTATACACACGGCTTGAGATCGATCCCTTGTCAGCATACTTAAAGGACTCAGCTATCTACCAATTGTGTCGGGCTTAATTTGTTGATACAGCTATTCTTTATAACTATGTATTACCGGTAGTACATAGATATAACATTAAAGTTACTTTTTTCTCTCTTTCCACGTCAGCAGACATGTTCAGAAAAGTGACTGAGAAGAGAGAAAAAAAAATAACTTTAATATTAAAACTATGTATTACGTGTAGTACATAGTTATAAAAAGTAGTTGTAAATAACTTTATCTTAAGTGGCTGTAGAAATATTTACCATATATATATATATATATATATATATATATATATATATATATATATATATATATATATATATATATTGTACTGAGAATATGTTTAACGAAAATTCTTTTCTTATGTTGCTGGAAAAAAATTATCTTATGCAAAAAAAGTAATCATGTATTACGGGTAATATATAGTTATAATATTAAATGTGCTTTATTTTTCTCTCTCCTCATACAATGGCGTTATACGTGGCGGAGATAGAAAAACAAATTTTAACATTATAACTATATACTATCCGTAGTACATAACTTTATTTTATTTTTTTGCGTGAGATCCTTTTTTCAAGCAATATGAGAAAAATGGAACCCTATGTTTTGTTTTGTTTTTTGGTGATGCCTATGTTTAATTAGACTATGATATATTTTGTTGATTCATAAAGTAAAAAAAATCTTTTGTGTAAGAAAAAAGAGGAAAAATTATTGCATTTCAAACCTCCTCGGTGAACACTTTCATGATTACCGATAAATTACCTATCCAAATTGATAAAAAGTTTTGCCTAAATCCAATGAAAAAATTTTGGTAACAAAAAATCAAACTTTGAAAATAAATTAAATATATCCTTACTAACAAATAAATCCTTGGGCAAATTACATTGAATCACCCTCTACTTAGGGTCATTTTCAAAAAAACAACCTTTTAATCAAACATTTAATCCCCTTAATTTCACTATCAAATCGTAACTATTAAACATATTTAATAATATAATACAAAAATATCCTTACTTCTATCCCAACACCAACCTATTTTCTCTAACCATCGTTTGCCATCACCGATCATTGTTTTTTTTTTTTTTTTTACTATTAACCATCGTCTCTAAATAACCATTAGCCATCGCCTCCAGATCATTATTTCATTCATTCCTTATTGTTTCACTTCCTTTCTCACTTTCCTATTGCCTAAACATCGTATCCAAATCTTAACCAAATATCTACTACTTTTCTATTCTCTATTGAGAATGAGATTTTGACAAGATTTGATACTTTTTTTTGGTTAGTCAAATAACAACAATGTTTCTCTCATTACGAGCCCCAAGCACTGGCAACACATCATCACCATTATGCAGTTC